AACTTTAGAAACTGCATGAAAAACCGTGCTTTTGTCATTAATTTGCATCACTGATGGCACTGCTACTATGACAATAGGTGGCACAACAACCTTGTGAAGAGAAGGGATCCTGAAACAAGAACCCAAAGAAAGACAGACACGGTAATATGCCAAGAAAAACCCACAAAAACAAACAAACACACATGAGGATGGGGAATATGGTCTCCATCTTCAAAACCTCAGTAGTTTGACAAGGCTGAAGTTCTAAACCTCAATTTTATTTTATCCTTCCTTTTATCAACTTCACATGAACAATACTATCCCTTTGATATTTGCCATTTGAATTTGGCACCTAAGGATCCTAACCAGTATTACTGTGACTGCAAATCATCATTCAATTCCACAAGTAATCCTGACTTCATCATCTTAGCCACATCCGTTTGATGGCAGGTGGAGGGAACTAGCCTGAAACGCAAGTCAGGCAAAACAAAACAGCTCCTACAAGGCAGTGAAAAATGATCTAACCTGAGTCAGGCAGAATATACAGGGAACCACAGAGCAGATGGATCTGTGCAGGATTAGTGGAAATGAAGTAATCAATCTCAAAGCAAACCTCTTCCATTTCTGTTCTTCCATTGATGAATTTTACATCCTTTCAAAACAAGTCAGGACATGACAAGCTCGAAACTTTTGATGCCTTTTACCAGTCAGGATTAAATCAACCGAAGGAAATCAGCACTGACAGCATGTATTGCTTCTCATATCACACTGCTCCTGTCTGCGTCATTCCAGTGGCCAGTAAAATCAGCTAGTTCTTCCTGTCAGTGTCTTTCACTTTCCCTCATATTTAAGGTAATGAAAGTTGCTGCCTTACACACGGAAATTCAGCACAATAGCTTTCCTTTTGCTAAACCAATTAGGCACAACTGAGGAATACAAAATACAGTTATTCATAAGAGAAGCAGCATAATTACTTTGTCTCCTATTCTCCTGTAGTAATTTTTCTTTGAAGCAACAGTAATCACATTGTACCTACACAGCTATGGCCTAAGCAGATTAATGAGTGCAGCTCACCTGACCCCATGCCAGAAACACATCTCTACACATGCACTTGCCATTCCAGAGTTCCTGAGGCACATAATCTCTTCATCTCAAGGATTATGATGTACATGTGTGGATGAGAAAAGCAAAGTGGTAATGAGAGGCATAGGTCTTTTCCTTGTTCTTCTGCTGAAGCTCAGCACACTTGTATTTTTCTGTGTAACATGTTCCACTTTCCCAAGAACAGTTCAAACAGTGGAACAAGAAACACCAGTGACAAGGATTTTCACTGTTTTATTCCAGTCCTGAGTTAACAGTTTACAGGCTAGGAAATGCCATTACTTTGGGAACTTCCATTACTAGTGTCATGGTTTAACTACAGCTGGCAAGTAAATATCACACAGCCACTCGCTCACTCCCCAATCCCCTGGTGGAACGGGGAGGAGAACCAGAAAAAATGCACAGGAAGACAGTGTTAACAAGGTCTTCTTGTTTCATACATACTTGGTACCTCACCTTGTGCATTTGGTAAGTAAGGTCCACCAACGTGTGCAGAGCATTAAAAGCTCCTCAGCTGTACTCCCCATTTCATGCACTCAGCTAAGCATCACAGACAGAAATGGCTTTCAAGTCTTGAAGATACTGTTTAATCTTTCCTTCATAGAAACCAAGCTGCTGATCAGGGCAACTAAACTGACTAAATTCCTCCCTCCAGTGCCTCCTGTCTTTTGCAGAAACCTTGCGGTAGGCTACAACCAAAGGAGTACACAGTGGGTTCGAAGCACAGAGATGCAGATTTACCCCTTCTTATTCCTCAGTCCCTGAATATTAAAATCACAGCTAATCTTCTAAGTGAGAACTTCCATGCAAACAGTGGAAGAGCAACAGTAGAGAGTTTCTGCAGACTCAGTCTCATGAACAGCTACTTAAAACTGTAGCAATGAAGCATATTACAGCTTCATAAACTCAGTAAATCATGACCAAGTTATCTGAAGAACTCTCATCTCTAACTGCCCAAAATCATAAGTCATTTTTTGACTAATAATTATGTTTTGCCCATTCCAAACATGAAATAATTTGGTTCTGTACAAAATCAGAAATTTTTAACAATGAAATCTCTCACCAAATTAGGCCAAACAAAACCCTAAAAAAACAACAAACAAACAAACAAACAAAAAAACCACAAGAACAAAAATAAAACAATCTGCCAGTTAGCTAGCCTCTTCTTGGTACTTTTGGTTGGTTCTACCAGTTAAATCCTCTGATATACATGTCACATCCAGGTTCAAGCTTTGGCAAGCTTGTGACAACTATGTAATCCCTTTTATAGATAAATAGAAATTCTAGAATCTAGTATCATTATTACTGCTACCTAAATTAACTGAGGATGTACTTTTGATGTATTGCAAAGTAAACAAACACAGTATAACGTGCATCTCTCTCACAACCATCACTATAACATCCTTCTGCACAGCAGGAACCAAAATTAAATTCACAACACCAACTATGATTCCCCCTCTTGTAGGACCTGGACCTCTTTGTGCTGTAGACTGCTGCTTATGTCAGACCCCAGTGTCCATTATCAAGACTAAGACATAGATGTTTGTTCCCTTTCAAGGCAGAAGTACAAATTATTTCTTCCTTTTAAAAGGGTAGTGCTGTTCTATCCAATAGCAAAGTGGCTTGGGCACACACTGACATTGTGGGAATGAGTAAGTTGCACAACCACCCAAACTAGAAAGCATTCAAATCCACCTCATTCTTTAGGAGGAAGGATAGTCCTAATTCCCCTTGAAGGGTTTCCCCTCTGCAAAGGCAAACTTGGGACTCACTGGACTATTTTGCAGCTCAGCTGAAGGGCTCACCTGACGGAGAAAAGAGCTGGACATCACCCACATTCTAAGGATCATGGCAGAGAACAAATGAAGAGGAAAACTTAAATAATGGCTTGTACAACCATAAGCATCAGGTGAATATCAAGTTCTTCCCCCTTCCTGATGCAGGAGATAGCATGCAGCACATGCACAAGCAAAACTTCTGCCACATATGAGGGTTGAGCATGCAGGCGCAGAAACCCTGAGACCTGGAGATCAAGACTTTAGCTTCTTCATGGCTTTGTTTCCATTCAGTAAAGGTGGAATAGAGATGATATGGGAAGTCGTGTAAAGATTCTTAAGTTTTAAGGTGTTACAATAGCACGTCTCATAAATATTGTCAAAATAGTGTTTCAGGACAGCAGGGAGACTGGAAAACAAGGCAGCTTGAAAAAAAAAAATTAAAACTGTTGTTTATCCCTGTAAACTCACGAGGCTTGCTGCTAACATTTGTCATTGGAATGCTGCATTTTCGTATTTTAAAAATACATCACTTCCTCTCCTGTTTTGCTCTTTCGTAGGCCTGGAGAAGCTACTGATCTGGAAGCTTCATCAACCTCCCAGCCATCCAACCTGCACATAAACCCTCTTTTCAGAGAGTCCACCTCTTGAAAGCAAACTGCAGGACTGCCAAACCATGACTTACAGTCATCTTGTAAAATTTATAGCTATGGTATTTGTTGACTGGTTGGTTAGTTTTCAAGAACTCCTGCTGCTGAAAGTATGATTACATCACAATGTCTGTTTTCTTCTTCAAATAAAACTGGAAGATCCATGCTCATGAAAGCAAGTCTGGACACATGACCCAGATATACGTTCTTATGGCTCAAACCCCAAAGAATGAAGAATATGAATGAATTCTGTCTTTTCTCATCTAATCTTGTTAGTTTTTAGGATGCTATCTGCTGGCTGTCATTTTGTGCCAGGCACTACCAAACACACTCAAAGAGAGCTCTTTCCCCACACCATCTATGTGCTAAATACAAAAAAAAAGCATGAACCAAGAGGATTACCAGCACTGGGCAGAGGAATTGAGGCAAAAAGTCTGTGATTTACAGTAACAAGCAGTAAGCATACCACTGACTGTGCCCAATGCTGTTCCAAGACTATGCTTACCAACTTACTAGGAATTATTTGTGATGTTAAATATTGCCAAGAAGAAATTGATATTACAATTAATTACCATGACCACAGAAATGGATTTTAGCATTACTCAAGGTCAGAAAAAAACAAAAACAAATCTTTGATAAGAGCCAGTGACCATCAGTAAAGTCCTACTGAACTGTCCTAAGAGAGCTGGAGACTTTCTTTGTCAAGCCTTGTGTGAAAAGCCTCATAATTTCCAGTAACCAGCTTTAAATGATTTAGATAGTAGCAGCATTTTACTGAAACCCAACTTACTGATCTCCTTAACAGTACTAACTTGACTCACCAAAGGGCTTATTTTGCTTTTTGTAAGAAATGCTTACGTATTCCTGATAAAACAACATGCTATAAGCATCGAGAAAGCAAATACACACATATCTGTAAAATTATTTGGCAATATATTACTAGTTTGCTACCCCATATCTAAAGTGTATGATTCCTACTTTAAAGGATAACAAATAGGCAAGATGGCAAGACTGCACATGGTTATATATTTTTACAGCATAAAGTACTTCCAAAGGATTAATTTAAAATCTGCAGGACACAAACACAGAATTTCTGCATTGTGAAACAGAAATTGAGTAAAACTTGTTTAAAACACTCCACACCCTATCTTTTTAGAGAACAGATCCCCCTACAGTTGAAACTAAAGGTGTAATAAATGCATTTAAATTTTGCCCATTTAAATTGTGATAGAAAAGTTTACAAAGTAATACATACGTATGTTGTACCAGTTCTCAGTTGTGATTAATAGAATTTTATAGTAATAGCTTTTACACATTAAAAAAAAAAAAAAAGAAAAACAAAAGGAACATGAAATCATACAGCTGAGGGCCTAAAACACAGAAAGAAGGGTCACTACAGAAGGAAGTTATGCTGGTTACCATTTCGTCTGCAGTCCCTGGCCATAATGATACACAAACCACATCAACAAAAAAACTCCAGCCAACACTCACTCACCCAGCAAAGAGCCTACGAAGATGACGATTTGCACCGTGGTAGTGAAATGCCTGTAGGTCTGCTCCTCGCCGTGCTCCTCGCTCTCAGCAGCCCCAGCCTGGCTGCTGTTCCCACCCTGCCACACCATCTGCCCAGCCGAGGCGTTCCTCATCTCCAGGGCTCCGGTGACAGCCTGGTACGGGGGATGCTCGCTTTCATTCCTCGAAATCCAGCTTTTGTTGTACCCCATGGCGAAGGTCCTGCCTTCCTGCTGACACCTAATACACACAGGTTACCGAGCCCCTGGCTTCAGCGACTGACTGCTGCCCACGAGCAAAAAGGCACTTCTGAGGACAAAGCCCTGTCTCTAACACTTGGAGGCATCTTCACCGTATTTCTGTGTGCCAGAAAGCAGGGTTGGCTTTTCACGTTTTCACTTTGTAAACTACGGTAACTGGTAAAGGAAAACAGAAAAAGCAGGCTCCTCCTTGCGATTAGCTGTCCCATATTTCTTGCTTCACAATGCCACAGCGTTTCCTCAGCATAGCTTACTGCAATAAACGTGCATGAGAAAATCACAGTCCACACCGCAGCTCACCCCGCCAGAAGGTCGTCTCGCACCACAGCGTACACACTCGCAGGCACATGGACTTCCCATACACTGAAATCAGTCAGGAAAAGTTGATGGACCACAAGCGCTGTCCCCGCTCCGCTCTCTGCCCTGACGTTAGCTTTTCTCACAGCCCTGAGGGAGGAAGGACACCTTTTGCCCCGTGGCACATTTCCTAGCGCTCTCTTCTCTCCTGCTCACTCCTCCCGTGGTGACACACGACTCCGTCCCGCGTTCCTCCTCAGTCTGCGCGACACTGGACACCAAGAAGACCTTTATACGGAGCCTAGGGAAGCCAGTGACTGTTCAATGACTTCCGCTGCACTCCAGCTATTTCTCGGGTTAAATTAATTTGGTTTTGAACCCCAAGGCGGGGGGCACTCGAGCCTCCAACAAACCGAAAAGCCTCCGTACGATTCTGCGCGCCCCACTCTCAGCGCGCCCCACACCAAGCACGGCCGGCGGTAACACCCCTGCCCGTATATACGCCAACATCCCGGCCCAAGCACTCAACTACACTACCCCACCGCTCCACAGTGCGCAGACACCAAGCCCCACCGCCCGCAGGAGGCGGTGGCCTGGCCAGGCGGAGCCAAGCGGCCAGGGCGGATCGCCGATCTCCCACCTCCGCCACGCTTCCAGGAGGCGGAGGTGCCGCCATCACGTGGCCGCGGCAGCCAACGGGGCCGACATTTTGGCGGGCAGCGCGGTGGCGGGCGCAGCGCTGAGCAGGGCAGGGCGGTGCTGTGGGGAAGCTCTTTCTGTTCGTGTGGGCAGGCACCATCCGGAGTCCAGTGGTGCTATAGCATAGGTAAGTACCTCAGGAAAGAATTTCAAAAGGCAGTGCAGATTTATACGTGCTATTTGTTAAAATATTTTTAAATACATATTTTATCGGGTAAGCTTCTTTATAGGCATAGTAAATTTGGGTTTTAATTGTGCAAGAAGTATACCTGCATCCATATAGTGAGTACATATTTGAAGATTTTAGGTGGATGGTTAGTTAAGAAGCAGCAAAAGGCCTTTCAGGCATTGGCTGGCAATGTAGACGTGCCCTCTGGAAGAGCAACTGCCCACCAGTATAACCCCTGCCCACCAAGGCTTTCAAGGACCCCACACTGATAGAATGTACTTCTGTGATCTGTGTGCTGTCTCCTGTGATGTGGACTTGGATGATACAGGCAAGAGCCAAATGCTCTGCCATGGGTTCAGAGACGTGTGCTGACTACAGGGAAATGAAGGCTGCCACCACCCTATCACACTACAGGTGCTGCAGCCTCTACACTTGCAGCCTCCTCTGGGAGTGTAAATCTCCCAGCTCATTGCTCCAGGCTCTTTTCTGGTAATTCATATCTCTTCCATGTTCACATCCTGACTCACTCCCCTGCTTTATCCTCTCACACCTGCTCACAAGCCATTCACTTTGTCCAGCCAGTCCCATCTTTTTCCCCACCTTACCCATGCAAAAGCCAGCAGCTATCACCCTGCTTTCCTCTCATCTTTTGTCTCCTAGGCCTCCCAAACTGTCTTCGTCCTTTCAGTCCCCCAGCATTCCTGTGGCCATTTTGGCCACTCTGACCTCCTGCCCACCTCCCAGCCACCTGCGAGGTGCTTTTCTTTACAGGACAGCCCCTTCCTTCAGTTTTTCCCTCTGGGTCCCTTCCCCACTCTCCTGCAGCTCACCAGGGGAGACTAACGTCCCCTCCCTATGCACAGGGGGAAGTGAAAGCGCACTATAACATCTCACATCATTAAATTTTAGTGGCTAGTATTTTAATGTGAGATATGAAAGTTTTGGAAGGGAAGTGTCTGTCGAGATGCACGTGTTTGGCGCAGGCAGACTCTTCAGTGGTGTTCATGGTACTCCAGGAGATCTGTGCAGAGTATTTGATTATCTTTTTTTCCCTAAATAATCTATTTTTGTTTCCTTTGTGCAGGTTTTCTCAAGGCTAGGTAGCCAAGCCACAGCCCTGAAAAAGGTGTCTCTTCCCCATCACCTGCCAAATTTTCACACTTGTGCTGGGGCACAAGACTTTTTAAAATAAATTATTGTGATTTTTTTTTTTTAATTGTGAAGTTACTTGTCTCTGGCTGTCTTCTTGGAAACAATAAATCACTGTAGAAGAAATAAAGAGAGAAAAAAATAGCTTGGGGTAGACATCTGGTCTAGAACATTTCATCCCAACTGTTTAAAATTTTGCCAAGTCACAAAGAACAGGAACAGTGGGGGAGTTTTAACAATGCATAATGTTACCTGACCCTCCCATTGTTATGCAAACTGACACGGGGAAGTTTGCCATATGCTGGGCTGTGTGTCTCACACAACGTGCTTGGAAAGTATAAACTCATAATTTCTGTTAAAGAAAAATTTACAGAAGTTTCTTAATTATTTACTGCATCATATATTCAAATTGGCCATTCTTGCCATGTCTTTTGGTAGGAGACAAGATGAATCTGTGGCCTAGGTATTTTTATTTCTAGTCTTCACTACAGAGAAAACACCTAAACAAACTGATGGATGAAAAATACCCAACTGCACCCGTAGGTCAAATACAGCAGTTACTTCTAAGAAGATGCAAGAAACTTCAGTGGACAATTACAGTGCCCCAGGTCACCTGTGACTGTGCAAAAGGAGCTCTGTTGTGGTTAGGTAAATACTACAGAGCTTTGTTCATGCCATCTCCCACAAAAAAAAAAAAAAAAAGAAAAGAAACAAAAACATTACTAAGGGCACATTCCAGGCATTCCCAGATGTGGTGAGGAACAGAGAACAGTGACACAGTTGAAGATTTGTTTTTGTTAGATGCTAATGACATTATGAAACTACCAGTTATTATATTAGTTATGAACCCAGCTGGGAACCGTAAGAGTTTAAGTGAAATACAAAGATAAATGAAAGTATGCATTAACAAGATGTCAATTTCAGAGGGAGAAACTGAGGACTATAGAAACTACTCATTAGAGTAAGTCCCTCCTTAAGTGGTCTATTTAAAACAAGGAGTCTGTACTCCTAGGTCAGGGAGTAAAGATCACTAGAACTCCATTGGGAGAAACCTTGTAATTAAAGAGAAGCATAAGATTTTTTTTTTTTTCATGCAATTACAAAAGTAAAGAAAAATTGAGTCTATTATACTGAAACAGAGATCTAAAATACTGCAAGTATGTCTCTGAAACTTACGTTGTTTTCAATTCAGATGAGGGAATTTGATCTTTAGAAGACAGATAATGTAACTATTAGTGGGAATCCTGGTAGGGCAGAAGGAAAACAATTCAGTTCGTTCAGTTCCAGTGGACCACACTTGTTTCCTTCATTTCCTAACAAATGGAAGTACTGTGTATGGGTGCACAGTAGCAAACTACAGATTACTGCAGCATTTTTCTTTGCCTGGGGATTACACACCTAATCAATAAGCTTGTGTGTATGAATTTACTTAGAGGTTTTTCATTAAGATCCCAAAACTAAAGACTACATCTTGTGGCAATCCTTCTGCTCAGAAGTTGCCACATGCAGTGGCTGAAGAAAAACACATCTGCTTACCTAGCTTCGTGTTTGCAGTTCACCAAGGAAGAGGCTAAGGCTGTTCATGCTCAACCTCCCAGTAGTTGTTAAATTAATCATCAGTGAAAACATGTTGTAGTTTCCACATGAACTTGTATCCTGCCCCAGCTCTATATGAAATCCATTCCTAATTTTGTGGTTCTTTTTTTTTTTTTCCCTTTGTAAATATTTCTCAAGGTGTATTTAAAAAAATCCGTGCAGTATTTGGTGCCTGTCTCTCTATTTGCAGATACATCTTGAGGCATATCTTGGGGAAGTTCAGACTGGACATTATGAAAAGGGTCTTCACCAAGAGGGTGGTTGGTCACCAGACTCCCCCAGGGAAGTGGTCACAGCTGCATGCCTGTCACTCAAGGAGTGTCTGGACAATGCTTTTACTTACATGGTTTAGTTTTAGATAGTCCTGCGCAGAGCAGGGAATTGGACTCGATAATCCTCATGGATCTCTTCCAACTCAAGATAATTTTACGATTCTCAGGCACTGCTGCTCTGGGCCTGCGCAGCTAAGATGGTGCTTTTGCAGGAGGCAGATGGGACCATGGGTGGACACGAGTTATGCAACATGCCGCGGGCCCTCAGAGGGTGGCAGAGCCCCAGGAAAGCCGCCAAGAGTGGTCTTGTCTACAGCCCTGCACGGTCCGGGGCTAACGGAACACGGCCGGGGCAGCCGCCACCGCACCACACCAGGAACTGGTCCTGGCCTTCCCCGCAGCCACCGCTCCCGGATGCACCACAAGGCCCCGGCCGCACCACAAGGCCCCAGCCGCCCCATCTCCTCCTCCTCCTCCCCCCGTCGCCGCGGAGGCGGTGCCGGGGCGCGGCAGAGCGAGGCCTTCGCTGGGCCGGTTCCACTTCCACGCAGTGCGGTGGGGCTGTGCGCGATGGCTGCCTGCCGCTCACGCCCGGAAAGCTGACATGGCCCGGGCGAGCGGCGCCCAGCCGCTGCCTGTGCAGGTAGCCGCGGAGCCGCCGGAGAGCTACCAGCTGCGGCAGGAGAACGAGCTGCAGGTGTTGGAGTCCATCTACGGGCAGGACTTTAAGGATCTGCGGCAGAGCCAGGCCTGGAAGGTAGCGAGCGGGGCTCCCCTCGCCAGGCAGCTGCGAGCTCGGCGGCCTTGCCGCTGTTCTTCCTTAGCGCTTCCTGTGCCCATTAATCGTTAGAGCGCCAGGGCTCCGGCCTCCAGCGGCGAAGCAAGCAGAGTGAGCCCTCTCTCCCTGCGGGTTGCGGAGGGCGGTGGCGCTCCAGCTGGTGCCTGGTCCTCGTGTTTCTCGCCTGGCGCATCTTTCCTTTCTCTGCCTGGCCCTGGCCCTTCCCCGCTTCGGCGGACAGCCCTGTAACCCACTGCCTTTGCAGTTAATCCTCCAGATTGGTGCCTTCGCGCTGTAATTAATGTTGTGCATGTAACTTGCGTTTTAAATGAGATTCTTTAAACATTGCCACTTAATTCATCCTTTAACCAAGTGCATATCTGCTTAATTAGTTAATCTCATCTGTATATATGTTGCTAATCTTCACATATTTATTACATGCTGTGGTTTACTCAAACTGTGTCTGTTTTAATGAGAGCTTTCATATATTTCTGTTTGTTGTTTTGGGCTCTGTTTGTTTGTTTTATTACAATTAACTAATGCTCAGGTCTACTACTCGCTATTCTTTCACATTTCTGTGTCCACAATGTCTAATTGATATTTTTTTTCCAGCTGCATCTGTGGCACTGTTTTCCTGTACCTGGAGGTACTGATCATTCTTTTCAGTTCCCCAAGTTCACTGCTACTGGCCTATTTACATTCTTTTGTCTTCAGTTTCTACAAAATAGCCCCTGCTGTCTTTTTTTTCTGCCATAAACCTGAAGTTTAAATTCTTGCAAAACCTATACACAGACACACACATGGAGTTTGATACTAACACGGTAATTCGCTGGGTTTTCAGAAGTGTTGCACACCTCATTCCCTATTAAGTTCATACCTGATGTTCTCTTGACTTTACCTCTTCTTTTCCCTGATGGAAGGGAAATAGGAGTATAGTGACCGTCTTTTAACCTGTTTCAGTATTTGTTATTACATGTGGTCTTACTTCCCTGCCTGTTTGTCGTGTTAGTAAGGTCTGGGTTGTTTTGTTTTTTGAAGTCTTTAATACAAAATAAAAAGTTTAGAATGTTTATGTAGGCATGTATTACTTTATTCTGATTTTGAGTAGGCAGTTGAACAGCGGGGGGGGGGGGGGGGGGGGGAAGGGCTTGCTAAAATTCTGTTTCATTGTTTCATTCCAAACCCAAAAATATAAATGCAAAATATTACTCTGCATTTTTTTGACCACACAAGGTGTATATATATGTGATGTTACAGTCTATTGCCATGTGAGAAAGTAAAATACCGACTGGTGTTTGCTAGTGATCCAAAACAAACACAAAAGAAACAATATTGTTCTTATAATGAATGCTTTAATTAGTGATATTCCGTAAGTAAACCATTTTTTAATTTTTTTTCCTACTACTAGCCTACAGTAAGCAGAATACAAGGGGTTTGTTATAAAATGCTCAGTCTGAATCTTCTAATAACTAACTACACTTCTCTGAGAAAGTTCTAAAAATATGTTGGATAAAATATGATAAACAATCAGTGAACCAGTTCACTCTCATTGAGCAGTATCAATACTGCTATGTATTGATAATGTACTGCTATGTATTAATGTATTTTTTTCTCAGTTTGGATGGTCTAACCTGAATTCTGTCATAATACAGGTTTTGAGAGTTGTGTGCTGTCATTAAAACGAAACCAGAAAAGCTTTTTAAATCTAAAATTTTGTTTTCCATTTCAGGTGCAACAACCTCCTGAAATTAATTTAGTTCTACGTCCTCAGGGATTGACTGGTGATAATGAAGTATATGCCAAAGTTGACCTGTGGGTCAAGTGTCCACATACTTACCCTGATACGTGAGCGAACATTAAAATCTTAACTTTTTTTTTTTTTCTCTGAACATTTTCCTCTGTTTTCCATAGTAAAGTGTAAATTGGAAAAACATGTAGTTCATTCATCGCTCTCCTCCTGGCTTTCTACATGTCAGTATTTATTAAGCCTGTGATATTTTATAATAGGCAACTATAAAATTTGGCACCTGAATTGGATGTGCTCTTTTGTGCAATGGAGAATTATATGGGTGCATTTACCAGTGCATGACCGCAGCCCCAGTTTGTAGCTTGGAGAGACATAAACAGAGGTGTATACCTGCTAGCATCTTAGTGGCCTTTTTAAACTGAGCTCGTAACCTGCTGAAAGAAGGATTGAATCTTCGTTTTTAAGCAGTCTGCTGTCTCAGTTATATGTGGGGTTCCTGTTTTCTGGTGGATTAACCTTTTGGAAGAGTTCTCACTAGAGAATGTAAAAACAACTGCAGGTGATCAGCTCCCTCTCAGCATTTGGGTTGCAAAGTAATTTCTGAGTTAAATGATGCTCTGTGCCCCATTTCCTTTAGTCCTTATGCCACCAATTATGTCCGAAGCCTGT